CAGAATGCGGGTAAAAAACAGAGCAGGAGACATATAATTTTCCCCCAAGGAGTTCAGTCACAAATTTAATTAACGCATTATTTTTTTAATGAGTGTCATCAGCATGTCCTCTGGAATGGTGGCCGAAGCATGAAGGGGCATACAAATATTGAGCATATCTGGCATGTTAATACCTTGCAATGCTGGCTATAAAAATGCCATGTGAATGCCTGTTCTCACTTTCAGGTGACATTGTAAATAAAAAGCAGGCAGCATTATAGCCCATAAATGGAAACAAACTTGTTTGTCTGAGCGATTGGCTGAACAAGAAGTAGGACTGAGTGGATTTGTAGGTGCTAAAGTTTTACATTGTTTTGTTTTTGAGTGCAGTTATACAACAAAAAAAAATCTACTTTTGTAAATTGCACTTTCTTGAAAGTGATCACTTTCACTACTTATATGAGGTGAATTGAAAAATACTATTTCTTCTGTTTATCATATTTACAGTGCAAATATTTGTAATAAAAAATAATGATATAAAGTGAGCACAGTACACTTTGTATTCTGTGTTGTAACTGAAATGAATATATTTGAAAATGTAGAAAAACATCCAAAATAGTTAATAAATTTCAATTGGTATTCTATTGTTTAAATGTGCGATTAAAACTGCTATTAATCACAATTAATTTTTTAAATCAAGCTTAATTTTTTGAGTTAATTGCATGAGTTAACGGTGATTAATCAACAGCCCTAGTTCCACAACATTCTTTTTTAAATGGGGAAACCAGAACTGGACACAGAAATCTATGGACTATGGATATATATCAATTTATATAGTGGCATCATGATATTTTCTGTCTGATTTTCAATCCCTTTCCTAATAGCTCCTAACATTCTGTTAGCCATTTTTATCACTGCTGAACATTAATATGGAGTTTTGAGAGAACTATCCAGAATGATTCCCAAATCTCCTTCTTGGATGGCAACAGCTCATTCAGACCCCAGTCACAAACTTTTTTGAGATCCCTTTGTAACTCTTCCCAGTCTGCTTTGGACTTAACTCTCTTGAGTAATCTTCTTTTGTCTGCAAATGTTGACACCTCACTGTTTACTCCTTTTTCCAGATCACTCATGAATACTTTGAACAGCATTGGTCACAGTTCAGATCCCTGGGGGACCCCACTATTTACCTCTCTCCATTCTGAAAAGTGACCATTCATTCCTACCCTTTGTCTCCTGTCTTTTAACCAGTTACTGATTCATGAGAGGACCTTGCCAGGATCTCCTCTGGAGCCCTTTTTAAGGACTGGCATTACAGTAGCTACCTTCCAGCCATCTGGTACAGAGACTTCTTTCAGCGACAGTAGTTCTGCAATTTCATATTTTGCATGAACTCACCTGAGGTACCCAATCTGGCATGCACTCCCTGAACACGGTTACCAAATCAGTTCTTGGGGCTGGATGCAATGCATCGAGGTTGCTGAGGGAGTTGGCTGATGTGATTGCAGACCCATTGGCCATTATCTTTGAAAACTTGTGGCAATCAGGGGAGGTCCCAGATGACTGGAAAAAGGCAACTAGAGGGTCCATCTTCAAACAAGGGAAGAAGGAGAACCCGGGGAACTACAGACCGGCCTTACCTTAGTTCCCAGAAAAATCATGGAACAGGTCCTCAAGGAATCCATTTTGAAGCACTTGGAGAAGAGGAAGGTGATCAGGAACAGTCAACATGGATTTGCCAAGGGCAAGTCATGCCTGACCAACCTGATTGCCTTCGATGATGAGATAACTGGCTCTGTGGATATGGGGAAAGTGGTGGACGTGATCTACCTTGACTTTAGCAAAGCTTTTGATACTGTCTCCCACAGTATTCTAGCCAGCAAGTTAAAGAAGTATGGATTGGATGAATGGACTATAAGGTGGATAGAAAGCTGGCTAGATCATCGGGCTCAGCACGTACTGATCAATCGGTTGATGTCTAGTTGGCAGCTGGTATCAAGCGGATTGCCCCAGGGGTCAGTCCTGGGGCCGATTTTGTTCAACATCTTCATTAATGATCTGGATGATGGGATGGATTCCACCCTCAGCAAGTTCACGGATGACACTAAGCTGCGGGGAGAGGTAGATATGCTGGAGGGTAGGGGTAGGGTCCAGAGTGACCTAGTCAAATTGGAGTATTGGGCCAAAAGAAATCTGATGAGGTTCAACAAGGATAAATGCAGAATCCTGCACTTAAGATGGAATAACCCCATGCATTGCTATAGGCTGGGGACCGACTGGCTAAGCAGTAGTTCTGCAGAAAAGGACCTGCGGATTACAGTGGATGAGAAGCTGGATATGAGTCAGCAGTGTGCCCTTGTTGCCAAGAAGGCTAACGGCATATTGGGCTGCATTAGTAGGAGCATTGCCAGCAGATCAAGGGAAGTGATTATCACCCTCTATTCAGCACTGGTGAGGCCACATCTGAAGTATTACATCTGATTTTGGGCCTCCCACTACAGAAAGTATGTGGACAAATTGGAGAGAGTCCAGTGGAGGGCAATGAAAATGATTAGGGGGCTGGGGCACTTGACTTACGAGGAGAGGCTGAGGGAAATGGGCTTCTTTAGTCTGCAAAAGAGGAGAGTGAGGGGGGATTTCATATCAGCCTTCGATTACCTGAAGGGGGGTTCCAAAGAGGATGGAGCTAGGCTGTTCTCAGTGGTGGCAGATGACAGAACAAGGAGCAATTGTCTCAAGTTGCAGTGGTGGAGGTGTAGGTTGGATATTAGGAGAAACTCTTTCACTAGGAGGGTGGTGAAGCACTGGAATGTGTTACCTAGGGAGGTGTTGAAATCTCTATTGTTAGAGGTTTTTAAGGTCAGGCTTGACAAAGCCCTTGCTGGGATGATTTAGTAGGGGTTGGATCTGCTTTGAGCAGGGGATTGGACTAGATGACCTCCTGAGGTCTCTCCCAACCCTAATCTTATGTGATTCTATGATTCTATTATTCTAATTTAATTATTCTCCCTGCATCCCCCTTCCCCATCGAAAAATATTCAGTCCTTTGCTGAGAAGCTGGAAATGCCTTCAAGCCTCTGTTTCCCTGGCACCAGTGGGGGATGGGAGTGCTGAGGAGATTATTACTGATGCACTCTGGGCAACCCACATTTGATTCCCAGGCTCACTGGTGTAACCCCCTGCTTGCTCAGAGTGGTGCTCTGTCCCCATCTAGTGCTGGGTAGGCCAGCTAGAGATCGATGAGTCTGCTACAGACTTGGCTAAGAGAGAAGTGTCTTTTACTTCATGCACTAGAAGCTCATACATTTAGCTCAGAGGTCCCAGTTTGATCCCCACTGCCGATGCCCCTGTTTGAGTTTGCTTTACATTGGTTTTTAGCTCTGGCTGTACCTAGAAACACTGGTCTGGGGTTCAATGACCTAGATGTTGGTGTCTTCACTGCTATCTGGGTGACACATCCCAGATTCCCTCCGGAGGTTCCATCACTATGCAGGGGGCTGGCAGGGCTGTGAGCACTTTACAATCAGGTCTATTGTCCTAGGGTTCAGGGCTTGGCCCTGCCAGGCTCTTCAACAGTTTGGAGAATCATGTTTCCCTGAGAGTGACTCGAACAGTTCTTGTGGAGATGGCCCTGTCTAGAAATGGCCATGTGTGTAACTCAAACATGCCACGATGTAGTGAAACAGTGCTTTGTTTTCTAGGATCTATATCTACCAACTTGCCAAACACTGTGCATATCTGTTTGTTACCGCATATGTCTATGCTGATCAGAATTGCAAAGAGAAAAAAATCTGGATCTGTGAGAAGGCAGCCATCCAGCTGAGGTTAAAGACAATCAATAGTGGGAAGTGTGGTTTATCAGTATGAAATTATTATTTTTCAGCCGTGGGAAGATCCTCTGTTTGCTCTGCATTGTTAATTTTTTGGTTCTTCAAAGTTTTCAAATGGTGATTTAAATAGGTGTGTAGTCAGTGTCCAAATCAGCGTCTTCATTTGCATTGTTTTTAGGACACCTCTGTTAAAAACTACATTACTTAGGGAACACACATAGGGTGCTACCCACAAAGTCTGTTAATCCAGGTCTGAAATGTGCAATGGATACCAAATTGAAACTTGCAAATCCTGACAAATTATAAAGCTGTTGAACTGAGATATGGAAAGAACTATAGGGTCACATCTTGTTCATCCCCTGGAAGCCCAGTATATGATTGTCTCCCATTGTCTATTTGCCAGAGATTTGTCTATTGCAGATTTAACTCAGGTGTTGAGTTTTCAACCATTTTCATTCAGGAGTCTATTCTGCCAAAAATTTCCTGATCACTAACCCTAAACATTTCTATTTCCCTCAGGTTTTTCACACATCTATTAAACCCTCCAACAACCCTAAACACATTCCTCTGACCTTCTGTACATACCTGTAGAAGGTGGCAGTATCCCTACTATTCAGTCATCACTTAGCCAAATTATGAATATGTAGCTCTTTAAGATTCTGGAGGGATTTGAATTATGAAGAACGTTTAAACATTTTGTGAGAAATGAAGATTTAGAAAGTACTCTGATAGGTCATTTTCAGATGATTAGATCTTTAGGTTGCATCTTGTAATACTGTAGGACATAATGAAAGACCCTGTAAATAGAGTGGATAGAAAATCTCTGTAACTCACTGCCTCAGGCTAAAAGAGTTAAATATTGTGGCTGGATTTTAAAACAAGTTGAAAATTTTAGGGTTATCATAATGTTCGCAGTCATGTAATTGGCAAAAAGAATAATAAATGGATTACTGTGATGAACGTTTCTTGGGGTTACTCCTGAAGCCACTCAGAAATGTCAGGCAATGAAGAAAGTTGCCACTGTCTTATATGATGCTGATTCTGGACTGGAACGTGCACAGTCCCCCGGGGCTCAAGAGGCTGCACTGGCTGCCAGGCTCAATTCAAAGTGTTAGTGTTAGTCTGAAAAGATCATTTTGATTTGGATGCTTTGCACCGTACTGATCAACCCTTTCCTTTGTTTTATTCCAGTGCGTGAGGTAGAGCGTAACGTGAGCTGACAGTCCCCAGATCCATTCAGCTAGGTTTGCAGGATTCTCACTGAAAGGCTCTCCTCTCTGAAATGTACTGCCTCGCAGATCCAGCCGAGGACTCCTCTGCACAGACATTGCACTGGTGTATCTGGGGCAGAGTCGGCCAATGTGGTGTCTCGCTGTTAAACGTTGGGGTGGGTCTTAAATGTAGATTTTAGTTCAGTTGAATTTTGTACTATTTGTATTGTACTCTTTTTAAAATGTTGCATGCTTTATCTCCTGTGTTATTTTTATACTACTGCATGTGGATCAATCAGTTTAAGGGCCTTTTCTGTATAGTACATGTGCTTTGATCTTTGATCAGGTGTCATTTAAAAATTTGAATAAAAGTAGTATCTTTTACTTCCAGGGCACCCTCTGTCTGAAGAATAGAAAACTCTTGTGTGTTCTTGTGAAGAGGGAGACCAGTTGGGGTGCACCATGTAACAGGCCCTAGTTTCAGCTGGAGTTGGGTAGTAGCAAGAGACTTTCACCATGGGAGCTTTGATTCCGGATGTCCGCTCCCCCTCCCTAGATCAGACAGAGTAGAGGTCACCCTGGTATGGTCACCAACCCAGGGCTCTTACTAACTGACATGATCTACTCTTGAATACATTTGTTTCTTGATTAAATGAACTTTAACCCAGGGCCCCAATTCTCTTTTCATTAATGTTTACACAAACAAAACAGCAGGATCATAAAAGGAAGAGGAAAGTAACGTGAACAATGCTGAAGAGAAGTGCAGTCCAGCAGTTGCAAACATTGTCATGAATACATTTACACTTTTTGTTAGTGATGACAATTATAATTCTGAAAAAGCCACTTCCAGTAGATATGGGGATCTCAAGGATTAGGGCATATGCATAACACTCATGCTGTGGCAATTTACACTCCGTGGGTCACATTTTCAAGGGTTTCTTTGCAACACTTGAGTCTGGAAACCTGATTTCAAAAATAAAGTTAGACTCTGCAGAATCTGAATATACCACAAAGGCCACCAAATACATCAAGTGGGCCAGTTCCAGTCCACGGGCCAGTGTTCAATGTACCTGAACGACAGTACACATCTTCCTCAAATAAACAACAACAGGAAAATACATGCCATGTCACATGAGATGTACTCCATTCCATTCATACATCCTCCTGGCGACTCTAAGCAGCAGAAACTTTGTATTAAAAGTGAGTGTGTCCCAGTACAGGGAATCTTCTGATTGCTGCATTGGTACAAATCAGGTTCTTTGTAGCAAGGAGGGGATTGTGGAGGAGAACAACAATGAATACCCATCCTCAATCTGTCTTTTCTGTAACAACATGACAGAGTCTTAAAAGGGGGTCATTTTTAGACTCTGGTCTCTGATCTTCCATCCTTGTCTTTTTTGGCTTAAAGTGAGGGGGAATGAAGAAATCCACTCATAAAACTTCTGATGGCTTGTCTAGTATGGTCTTCCCAGGAGAACTGCACTGTACCAATTGGGTATGAAGTACCATTTGTATGTCCAATGTTCATTGTTTATCCAGAAGGCATAGTGTGTGCATGTGGCTTTTGACACCATAACATTCATTTCCATTCATTCAGTTCTGATTTTCCAGGTATTTTCAGATTACACTGTCTAGCTTGTGGGTAGATGATGCCTTTCATGTGCCTAAATTTTAATTTCATCTCATGTCATTCCGAACAATAAGGTTCTACTGGAAAACCATTTGGTGGAGATTTTCAAAGCAGTCTAGGGAATTTAAAGACATGCATTTGAATGGAAGACGTGTAACTAAATCCCCCTAGATCAACATGAAAATCTCAGGTGTTATTTTTCTGTACTGAGAGAGATGTGGGTTAAGATGTAATCAGCAAGTCCATTATAATTTATCTTTGCTACACAGGGCTAAATTTCCAAAAGCGCAGTTTTACTTTGAAAGGTGAATATAAAAAGACATCTTCTTACGGAATGCACCTGCTTCCTGTGGATATTTAAAGCCATGCTCTTGGCCTTAGGAATAGAAACAAGTTGTTGATTTTTTGTCCTGTTCACCCTGCAGAGACAGACCAGCCCTGGGAAAGGGAGTTGGATTTCATCCCTTTAGAGCAGACATGCACTTTAAAGTATCATGTAACTCCAACTTCCTCATCTTAATATCTGTTTGTATATAAATAACTTCATCATTTCACTTTCCCAGTGACTTCAGTAAAGTTATTGTATGATCACCCAACTAAATAACTAACTAAATAAAATAAACACCACACCCTTATGTTGGTGGGATAGTGATAACTCCCAGTGTTGGTCCCACTCTGTTAATTGCATCACCTGTGCCCAGAAAGAGAATTGGCCTATACCTCTGAAAGCTCTGAATCCAGAGACTTTGTTCCCAGATGGCTGTCACTAGCCTGGCTGCTGAAGGAAGAGAGAAGCAAGATGCTTGTGCTTCAAGCAGAAGAGGTAAGTGCTGAAGAAGGAACTAACTTCTTCTCCTACACATAGTTTACTTTTTGTTCTCCAAACTGAAGTTTTGATGATGTTGCAAATCCTCACTGAAGCTACTTTGTTAGGTTCTCGGGGATAGATGAGGTATAAGAACCTGGACAGTGTCCTGCATAATATCTCATATTGTCTATATTTTCTCATCTGTAACTTGCTGAATATTTTAAACCTCACTTCTTTAAGGAAACCATAATGCCTGCTGGAGTGAATTCCTCTTGGAGAAAATTACTGTTAGATGCTTTCTCAGAGAAGGTTAACTCTCTTCTTACTGGAAAGAGGAAATATGGATGTGAGTGGCAGTGTAAATGTGAGTCAAGAGCTACAAGAGGGGCAGAGTTCTCAGCTCACAAATGGTGACTGTCAAGAGGCCCCTAATTTGGGTGGAACCTCAGCATAGGTCATGCCCCCTTTTTTTGCTTAACTGTCAGGGAGTACAAAGCAAACCACAGACACTGGCTGTGTAGGCCATCTGGCTTGCTGGGAAGTATAGGCAGAGAACTGTGCAGTCTGGAAAACCCCCTATCTGCAGGGAGAGAGATGGAATTCTCTGCCGAAGGGCTGTGTTTTCTTCAGATTTTGCAAAGAGAAATAAGTGGAGGGCAGATGAGCCAGAAGGGAGGTAGAGGAAGAAAGAGAGGGGAACAATTCCTCAGTCAAAGGGGAACATTTCTCTTTTGTAACATCCTGTCAGAGGAAGTTCTGGGCCACTCTGCTCTGATATCCAGGTTGCATCATTTGTATCTACCAATGCATTAAAAAAGGAGCCCTCTCTAAAACAGCAGATCTTGCTCCTTGCTCAAAAGCTGCAGAACCTGAAACATGCTATAACTGTTTGATTTGAAATATAAGCTTCCCTCTTCACCAGCTATGACAGAGGAAATAACATATGCGAATCTGGAATTTAATAAATCGTATGCACTGGAAAATGTCCCAAAGCCTGACGCTCCTGAGGAAAAAGGTACAATCTCTATGGGGCTTTTTAGTTATTGTGCTAAAAGTAGCTGGGCTGGGAAGCGCTCTCAACCTAATCTTAGGCAGAGTGGGCCAAATTTGATCCTCTAACACTTCTCTTGGTAGAGTCACACCAGTGGTGAATTTGTCCTGTTTTATTGTCATTATTAATTAACAGAAGTGTGGAAGCATGCACATTGGTGTTCAAAGCGTGAGGGAGATGCTGTCTCTACCCTGAAGATTTTCTTATGTAGGGAACCAATCCTGGAAACACTAACTGCTGAGAGTAATACATTTTGCCATGAGTAGTCCTATTCACTTGGATAGATTACCCATAGGAATGAGCAGTATGCCAGGTAATAAGTGTTTTTGGGATCAGGCTCTAGAGAACAGTTTGACACGCTAGAGAAGATACTGTGTCATCAGTTCATAATCATTTCTGCAGAATCATCCATGGCACGATGCAGCCTAGATTAGGATTTTAAAATTCTCAAACTCTGGTCCATGGGAAGGAGAAGATCTTTGTTTGCTTTCATGGTTAACCTGCTCCAGGTTGCATCTTTCTCATGGGAGATTGTAACATTTGGTGACAAATTATAACTCGAGTTTCTGGAGCAGAGTGTTTGTGTTGTCTCCATGTGAGGGGGTGAACACAGCCAGAGAAGAGGGAAACACTTTAAACAGTCAAAGCTGCATTTTAAAAAAGAGACCAAGGTGACATTAGAAAGCGGAAGAAAAAACCCTCAAAAGCCAAACCCCAGTTCGTGGAACCTTTTCCCAAAACAATGAATGAGAGTTTATTTAATCAAAACACGTACAAATCAGGAAATTGGTTTGCTGTGGCCTCCTGACCAATTCAACCACAGAGCCCCCGTGCTGTTCTCTGCAGCAGAGTAATTGAAATAGAAAACTACTTCCCTTTTCTGGTTAACTGTCAAAGAGGACAAAGCGTTTTGCCTTCAGGCTCAAGCTGGGGGCTGTAGCTTGGTAGGAAAGGTGGAAGGTTTTTTCATCTTTACATTCAAATACATGTCAGATTATTTAGCAGTTTTGCCATTTTTCTGAAAGTAGCAATCACCAAACGGCATCAGTGTGTTCTCAGCCCTGATTCCTGGCTGAGGCAGAGGAGCACACAGCATGATTCAGGAGGGGAATGTGCAAAGTAGCTTTAAGCCACCTTTGTGTTATTCCTGATCCTGGGCCAGCTGTGCTTCAGTCCAGTCCTCTGGTACCAATTAGAGCAGTCTGAAGGCTGCTCCAACTTGCTCCAGTTGCTAGTGATCATAAATGACCATTGGAGCAGCTAGGGATCACCTAAGTTCAGGAAAGCCCCAGCTGTGCCTTCTTTTCTGGAGCCACTATTTTATACCAGCCATAAGGAGGAGAGTTAGCACCAGAGCAAATACACAGGTATGATCCTCCTGGGCCGGCTATGCCGCTGTGTCCCAGAGGTGCTGTGCATAGGGGTCATAGCACAGTTAAGGATCTGGGCCATTTAAGGATTGTAAAGTGCCCAGAACCTTGGCTGGAAAAACAAAGATAAACAAAGAAATCCTGTTTCTGATACTGACCAATGTCGAAGGCTTTAGAGGAAGATTTCAAAGTCAGGCCCCAGGAGGATGTTGTAAGCAGACACACAGATCTTTCAGTGCTCTCTGGACATACACTGATTGCAGCCAGCTTCTTTGAAGCATCTTTTGAGGAGGGCATTGCCACTCTTTGGGTCTATTCTGTTCCCTCATTCCCAAACCAGCCTCCTCTGACATTTAAAGTGAACTTCCTTTTCTTTGGAGTGCCCAGGAAAGGCAGTGTCCACTGACACTTACTATAACCACTTCCAGGAACTTGACTGTGTTCTGTCTTTCTAGCAATCTAATTGAATTGAATTCAGTGGGGTTAGTCCTCATTTGCACCAGTCCCTGTGGGAGGAGAAGTGGAGCCATATTTATTTTCAATAAAAGCAAAGTTTATTTTGCCTCCACTAGAGAGTAAAGAGAAAAACCACAAAGTAAATAGAAGGGGCCAGATCCTCAGTTGTGCCAAAGCTCTATTCAGTGCAGCTGAGAAAGGAGGGGATAAAGGAGAGCTGAAGCCACATGTGCTGATTCTGAGGTCAATCGGGCTGGCCTATTCCTTAGTGTAATTTATAGCAGCCTCGGACATTCTCTAAATTATGCCTGTCTGCAACAGTCCCCAAGGGGCTGCCTCATAGTGGTGATCACTGAAATTCAGGGGCACTCTGGCAAAGGGGGCTAGACTTTGGGTTGAGGTTGGCCACTGAGGCAGGTGCGAGTCCCCAGACCTGCTGTTAACCTCCCCAGAAGGGGGTAAGTCTGGAGTAGTGGGCACTGCTGGAGGGCAGTGTCCTGAAGTGGATAGATAAATAAAATAAATAAAATAAACACCACACCCTTATGTTGGTGGTATAGTGATAACTCCCACTGTTGATCCCACTCTGTTAATTGCATCACCTGTGCTCAGAAAGAGAATTGGCCTATATCTCTGAAAGGTCTCTCAATGCAGATTCTTTCTTCCCAAGTGGCTGTCACTAGCCATGTTGCTGATAGGAAGAGAGAGAAGCAAAGTTGCTTGTGCTACAAGCAGAAGAGGTAAGTGCTAAAGAGGGAACTAACTTCTTCTCCTATAGAAGTTTACTTTTTATTCTCCAAAGTGACATTTTGGTGATAATGCAACTCATCACTGAAGCTACTTTGTTAGATGTTCACATACCACAGGGATAGGTGAGGTATAAGAATCTGGACAGTGTCCTGCATAATATCTCATATTGTCTATATTTTCTCATCTGTAACTTGCTTAATTTTTTAAGCATCACTTCTTTAAGGAAACAACAATGTCTGCTGGAGTGAATTCCTCTTGGAGAAAATTACTGTTGGATGCTTTCCCAGAGAAGATTAACTCTCTTCTTACTTGGACAGAGGAAATATGGATGTGAGTGGCAGTGTAAATGTGAGTCAAGAGCTACAAGAGGGGCAGAGTTCTCTGCTCACAAAGGATGACTGTCATGGGGCCCCTGATTTGGGTGGAACCTCAGCATAGGTCATGCCCCCTTTTTTTGATTAACTGTCAGGGAGCACAAAACAAACCACAGACACTGGCTGTGTAGGTCATCTGGCTTGCTGGGAAGTGTAGGCAGAGAACTGTGCAGCCTGGAAAAACCCCCTATCTGCAGGGAGAGAGACGGAATTCTCTGCCAAATTTAAACACTAATTTAAACACGAATTTAAAGGTTGGGACACTTGGAATTTTGGTTAATAACTAAAATAATTTCAGAGAGTGTTTTCTTCTTTGATCAGTCCAAATGAATTACCTGTACTTGCAAACACTTAAGCACATCAGTAATTCACCTGGGCTATTCATTTGAGTAAAGATAATATTGTGCAAAGCATTTGTAGAATTGGGCTCTATTGGAACACAGGTTAACATTTGGATAATTTAAATTTAATTTTCCTTCTCTATGTTTCTAACAACTGAGATGATGAAAATGTTAATGTCTATAATATTTTTCAGTTAATTGGAGGGAGAAACAAAACAAACCCCATATTATGGCCTGATTCTCAGTCACCCAAAGGCTGGTTTACACCAATCTGAAAGTGCAAAGACATCTTAAAGTAGGTGTAAATTTCATCCACACTCACTTAAAGATCCTTTACACTGCCAGAGTGGTGTAAGGTGGTCCTACTGTAAATGAGAATCAGTCCTATTTCTGTTAGCAACTCAGATTGTGACATAATTTACAATCTGCTCCTGATCCACATGTTGTAGCCCTTGTTTCATTTCACAATGGTGTACGTCCCACATCTGCATTCCCACATCTAATTTAAACTCTCTGGAATCTCTCAGTATCACTGAGTACTTGACCACCTCCCCAGGGGAGTCTGTTTCTGTGTCTCAGTTGCTCTGGCTGTCACAAAACTTGCCCTAATGCTGTATGGTCAGGAGCAGTGGGAATCCCTGTGGCCCACAGAAATAAAGTGGATCTCTCTGGTGCACCAGATAACACACCTGGTGCTCTGTCTGCTAGGAGGGTGCAGCATGCACTGTCTTCCAAGGCTAGCCAGTTCCTTCCCTCCTTCCTGTCCCCTTTCAGAGCCTTACACTACAGGGTGTGCTAGAAAGGAGCAGTCACTGCACTGAGAAGAGTGCAGAGTCTACAATTTTTGCTGGCCCTTATGGAGGAGACACAAAAGCCAGCACACATGTTGCATCCTCCTTTTACCTTCTTGTGCAGCCTCAAAACCTGTCCCTTTGCCTGAACTTTTCCTTGTGTCAAAGACTATCCCCTTAGGCCTAGACAAGCAAGATTCCAGGAATGTTAATAAAGCTGAAGTCTCACATATCAGAGCACAAGCAGTGGTTCCCAGGCATTGGCCCCGATCCCTGGAGCACTCCTTGCTCTTTCTGACCTGAGCTGGTAGAAACCAGGTGCCAGATGATGTACATTGGACTATAAATCAATTATCAATACACTGATTTATACCAGCCAAGGATCTGGGCCCAAATACCTGGACTTGGGCTTCTGCATGGTCACACTGAACTCTAACTCCTGGGGACAGAACCTAGTCTCTGGAGCACTCTCAGCACCCTGTGGCAAGCGACAAGGACTGAGAATTGATCCCAAGCCTGCTGCTGGACTGTGCAGAGTGCTAACCCCTATGACATGCATCTGATCATAACAGAACATGACCATAATGCTGTGAAAATCCTGTATTCATCCCCACATATGAATCCTGACCCTGCAGTTCTGCAGAAACAAGTTGCCTCTTTAAAAACCAAAGCACAGAATTTACACAGACAGATGTTGCAAAGAGAAATAAGTGGTGGGTAGATGGGTGAGAAGGGAGGCAGAGGAAGAAAGAGAGGGGAACTGTTCCTCAGTCAAAAGGGAACATTTCTCTTTTGTAACATCCTGTCATAGGAAGTTCTGGGCCACTCTGCTCTGACATCCGGGTTGCATCATTTGTATCTACCAATGCATTAAAAAGGAGCCCTCTCTAAAATGACAGATATTGTTCCTCGCTCATCTGCTGCAGAACCTTGAATGTGCCTTAACTTTTTGACTTGAAATATAAGCTTCCCTCTTCACCAGCCTATGACAGAGGAAATAACATATGCGGATCTGGAATTTAATAAACCTTATGCACTGGAAAATATCCCAAAACCTGCCGCTCCTGAGGAAAAAGGTACAATCTCTAAGGAGCTTTTTTGGTTATTGTGCTTAAATTAGCTGGACTGGGAAGTACTGTCAACCTAATCTTAGGCAGAATGGGCCAAATTCACTCCTCTAAATCCATGACTGTCAGTAGAGTTACACCAGTGGTGAATTTCTCCTTTTGTTTTATTGTCATTATTAATTAACAGAAGCGCAGAAGCATGCACTGTGCAGTTCAAAGCATGGAGGGAGATGTTGTCCCTCCCCTGAATATTTGTATAATGTAAGGATCCCTGCAAACACTAACTGCTGAGAGCACTTTCTACCATGAGTAATCCTATTGACTTGAATGGGACTACCCATGGGAGTGACCAGTGTGCAAGGTAGTGTTTGTGGGATCAGGTTCTAGAGTAGAGTTTGAGAGTCTAGAGGAATATTGTGCCATCCATGGGGATTTTGGCAGAATCAACAATGGCAGGATATTGCCCTAGATTAGGATTTTATAGTTGTCAAACTCTGGTCTATGGGGGAAATAGGATCTTAGTTCTCTTTCATTTTTGACCTGCTTCCTTCTCACGGGAGGTTGTAACATTTGGTGACAAATGATAACTCACTTTCACAGTATAGAGCGTTTGTGATGTCTCCATGCGAGAGGGTGAACAGAGCCAGAGAAGAGGGAAGTACTTTAAATAGTCAAAGGTCCTTTTAAAAAAGAGACCATGGGAATATTTGTAAATGCAAGAAGAAGAAAAAAAAGGCTCAAAACACAAACTCTGTTTCACGGAGCCTTTTTCTGAAACAATGAATGAGAGATTAGTTAAATACAAAACTCTCCAGACAGAACTTTTGTTTGCTCTGGCTCCCTGACCAGTTTGGACCTCAGAGGCCCAGGCTGATCTCTGCAGAAGGGCTTGCATTCAGCTAGGGAAACCTCAGATCCCGAGTGAATCAAACTGAAACCACTTCCTTTTTTCCTTATCTGTCAGAGACCACTTGTGATGCTGTCAGGCTCCAGCTTGGGGCTGTACCTCGGTAGGGAAGGTGGTAGGTTATTTTGCCTTTACATTCAGATAAATGCCAGATTATTTAGCAGTTTTGTCATTTTTAGGAAAGTAGCAATCACCAGAAGGCATCAGTGTGTTACAGGCCCCGATTCCTGGTTCAGGCAGAGGAGCACACAGCATGATTCAGTAGGGGAATGTGCAAGAATGTCTGGAAACCATCTTTGTTCTATCCCCAATCCTGGGCCAATTGTGCTCTAAGCCAGTCCTCTGGTATCAGTTAGAGCACTCTGAAGGCTGTTCCAACTTTGCTGCAGGTGCTCGTGACCATAAATGGTCATTGGAGGAGGAGCAGTTGGGGATCACCGGTTCAGGGAAACCCCAGTAGTGTCTTCTTTTCTGGAGCCACCGGTTTACACCAGCCATAGGGAAGGAAGTTAGCATCAGAGCTATTACACTGGTGTTACCCTCCTGTGCCAGCTATGCCACAGTGTCCCAGAGGTGCTGTGCATAGGGGTCACAGCAGAGTTAAGGATCTGGGCCATTTAAGTATTCAAAAGTGCCCAGAACCTGGGCTGACAGGCAAAGAAAGAAATCCTGTTTCTGACACTGACCAGTGTCAAAGATTTCAGAAGAAGACATAATAGTCTGCCCCCAGGAACGTGTTGTAAGAAGGCACACAGGTTTCTCAGTGCTCTCTGGACACACATTGATTGTAGCCAGATTCTTTGCAGCATCTTTTGAGGAGGGCAGTGCAACAGTTCAGAGATGGACCTGCTGCAAGTTGTGCAGCCAGCTCATCTGGTGAGGAGGGAGTGGTCGGGGGGATGAGGGGGAGGGTCACAGGACAGGGGCCTGATGGAGAGGTCCAGAGAGCTGGGGGGAAGGGCAGGCAGGGAGAACCCTCCTGAATAACCCACTCGAGGAAGGCCTGAGAGACAGGCAGTAAGGCTGCCCTCACCTCCTGGTGTATACAGAAGGAAGTATTTCTTCACGCAATGCAGAGTTAACCTGTGGAACTCTTTGCCAGGGGATTTTGTGAAGGCCAAGACTATAACAGGGTTAAAAAAAGAACTAGATAAATTCATGGAGCACAGGTCCATCAAAGGCTATTATCCAGGATGGTCAGGGATAGTGTCCTTAGCCTCTGTTTGCCAGACGCTGGGAATGGGCAGCCGGGGATGGATCACTTGATGATTACCTGTTCTGTTCATTCCCTCTGGGGCTGCTGGCATTGCCACTGTTGGAAGACAGGATACTGGGCTAGATGGACCTTTGGACTGACCTCGTATGGCTGCTCTTATACACCGTCGAACTTGAGGGATGGAGAGCCCCATGTGCTGGCCAAGCGACAGGGGTCCAATTGTTTTACTCCAGGAGGTCTCCCCGATTCTGGTGATACCTGTCAGGACCAACTTCTGGCTCACCAAGGGGGACTCCGCCACCTGCACACTGAGCTGGGGGTTGTATAGCAGAGGCTCTGCAAAGAGGTCCTCCTTCTTAGCGGCCACCATGGACCTGGTCATCAAGTCCAGCTTCCAGGTCCTGAGGATGTCCCAGTAGAAGACCGGCAACTCAGACAGGTCTTGCAGAAGACCCCTCAGATGGAGGTAGAAGAGCTGAAGGTTGTATCAGAGCCCTCAGAGATGGTGGAGGAAGGCGTGCACCAGAAAACTCTACACTGCGGTACCTGCACCATAAAGAAGTCTCTGCAGGGCCTGAAGGTGGTAGACATGGACCTTACTGCGAAGGCAGGGCAGGTCCTGTCCACCCTCTCCCAGGAGGAGACTCAGGACCCCCACAGAGACCCAGTGCAGCTTCAGCCAAAAGAACTCCAAAATTTTCTTCTGGAGTCAGGCCAGGATACCTGGGGGCTGGCTTAGGGTGTTGAGCCGGTGCCAGAGCATCCCCATCCTCTGTAAAGTAAGGGAAAGAACCCTAGTTAGTCAGCTTCACACCTGGGAGTGATTAACTAATTGTCTCCTGCCCAGAAGAGGCAGAGCTAGCTAGGCTTTAAAAGTAGACTGAGGGAGCTCAGCTGGGGGAAGAAACTGCAGAGGAGGCAGGTCTCTCTGGCAGAAAGAAGTCATGGGATAAGTTTTAACAGATAGGGTACAATGGCGGAAGAACAATACAGGATCAGGTTAGGCTTCTGCAAGGGAAGCCCTGTGTAAAGGCCAACAAGGGTCTGTGCTGACCATCTGTAGCCCTTGCAGTGGAAGAGAGTCTGTTGGAAACTTGTGTAGCTGCAGCCCTTTCCAAGCAGACCTTTCACCATTTCTGAGTCTGCCCTATCAGAAGCTGGCTCAGTGTCTTTGTGGGTATGTGGGAACCAAGAAGGAAGGAAGGAAGGAAGGAAGAAGAACAAAGCAGCAAAATAAGGCATTTCCAGAATGCAGAGCTTTTAGTCACTGAATTCATTATTAGTTTTCATAGATTCCAAGGCCAGATAGGACCATTATGAGCATCTAGTCTGACCTCTTGCATCTAGTCTGACCTCTTACATAGCACAGGCCATAGAACTTTCCAAAAATAATTCCTAGAACAAATCTTTTAGGCCATGTCTACGCTATGACTTATGTCGTTCAGGAGTGTGAAAAAACCACTCCCTGAGCAACATAAGTTTTGCCAGCATAAGTGGTAGTGTGCACAGTGCTATGTCAGCGGGAGAGATTCTCCCGCTGACATAGTTACCACCACTGATGGAGGTGTTTTTATTAAGTTGACAGGAGAGCACTCTCCCCTTGGCATAGAGCAGCTACACGATCAATCTTGCAATGGCGCAGCTGCATCGGCACAGACATAAGCTCGCTAGTGTAGACACGGCTTTGGAAAAACATCCAATCTTCACTTAAAAATTGTCAGTGATGGAGTATCCACCACACCCCTGGGTAAATTGTTCCAACAGTTAATTACTCTCACCATTAAAAATTTACACTTTATTCCCAGTCTGAATTTGTCTAGCTTCAACTTTCAGGCTTTGGATCGTGTTATACCTCTCTCTGAAAGATTAAAGAGTCCATTATTAAATACTTGTTCCCCATGGAGGTACTTATAGATTATAATCAAGTCACCCCTTAGTTAAAATAAAGAGATTTTGCTCCTTGATTCTATAACTATAAGACATGTTTTCTAATCCTTTAATTATTCTCATGGCTCTTCTCTGAACCCTCTCCAATTTATCAACATTCTTCTTGAACTGTGAGCACCAGAACTGGACATAGTATTCCATCAGCAGTCACACCAGTTTCTGTTTAACATTCTCCAGAGATACAAATGGAATGGGAAAGAGTGTACTCACTATATGATGAGACGGCATCATCTGCTTTCCCCCCAAATACAGCACAGAAATATATATTAGCATGTCTGCCTTTTTTGCATTATTATTGGTAATTCTATCATATCCATCTATCAATGGACCAATACCATTGTCAGGATTCTTTTTGTTCCTAATATATTTAAAAAACTCCTTCTTATTGTTCTTATTTCTGCTGCCCTAGATATCCTTTGACTTTCCTTATCAATTTTCTACAATTCCTAATTTCTGATTTATATTAATTCCCCTTTATTCCATTTGCTATGTATTTAATTATTATTATTTTTTACAGCTGCCTTTAATTCTACTCTAAACTAGTTTTTTTTTTAAAACTTAGCACAGCCTTCTTCCTCAATTGTGGGCTTATGGCATTGGGGACATCTAGTAAGGTGTTGTTTAAAGATTCCCAATTATCGTTCAATTTTTTTCTGATTAAATTCTTCCTCCCAGCTGGTTTGGATTTGGTTTATAATTGTTTTCAGCATTGTGAAATTGGCCCCACTAAAGCACCAATTATATATATTACTGGTCTGGACTTTTTTCTGCTGTTTCTGCAGGGCGCCCCACTTCATCCCCCACATGGCGTCTGGCTGCCCTGACTTTCCTCACATTGTGCTTGGCATTGCTGGTAGGGCTATTAGCCCTGGGGATTGTGTGTAAGTATCAATACTTTTTTATTTGGTGAATTTGATACAGGTATCTATCCATCCCCTGTAGTCTGAAGTTGTTGATTTAACCATCGCACAGGTACAGCATGAGCAGTGGTAATGCAAGCTTCCCAGACACACTATCACCCCTTAAGGACAGGTTTCAGAGTAGCAGCCGTGTTTCAGCTGTAGCTCCTGAAAGCTCATGCTCAAATAAATTGGTTAGTCTCTAAGGTGCCACTAGTCCTCCTGTTCTTATCACCCATTAATGTACTTTACCTTGGTTGAGCTCCAGAGTAGTGTTATTGCTGCAAGTGACAATTTCTGGAGCCCACTCACTCCTTAACCTCTCTACTTAAATTGCCAAAGGGAAGCCTTTTGGTGACACCAAGTTATGATGCTCTTTTTTGTGATATGGAAACCAGTCCCATGAGGAACTGGGTGACATCCACTAATTCATTTCACACTGAACACTTATAAGGTGGGGATGTTTTTCAGTTACTATTGACCTGCGCTGGATATCAATTGGTGACAAAAAGGTGAAAGGCTTTGTATCTCATTAAAAAGCCAGCTCATTTTATTTAAAATTTATTTTAAAATAGAAAAATTACACTAAACCTGTAATGCCAATACTAAAGGTTACTACCCAAAACAAGGCACAAAATTTAAACCAGACGAATAGAATAACCAAAAATTTAAAAAAAAACAGATGACTGGCACCAGACTCCTTGTTGTTTTTGTGGATACAGACTAACACGGCTACCCCCGGATACAAAAATTAAAAGAGGACAAAGACAGGAATAATTTTTATTCATAAATTATAAGAATACAAAATGCTTTTTGTGAATTTCAGTTTTTCAGGTTTCCAGTGACTTCCAGAAACAGATTGGAAACCTCAAGCAAAACCAGGAAACTCTGCAAACAAGTTCCTCAAAAAGGCTGCAAGACATGAAAGACAATTTGTGTCTGAAAGGGGAAGAAAAAAATAAGAATAATGGTAAATAGGATTGTTATGCAAATGGACTCCTGTCCTTTATTCCAGAATAGATACAGGTTGGGCAATGGTTGTACAATTTCACCTATTCTCTTCCAATTACACCCCATTAAATGACCTCTATACCTGCACTGAAAAGGACGATCACTAATTGTATGCAATTAGCAGAGAGGTGAGGTACAAGGGAATTCCTCCTTCATGAGCCATTCAGCCCTTGTTTTCTCTGTTCAAATGGCTAAGAAAGCAAATAATTAATGCCAGTTATTATTGTGCTTTTGTGATGCTGACACCTTCCTCCTAGTAACTGAACTGGTACTATCTGACTGATTTCACATGGGCCATAAAACAGTATCAGATGGTAACTGTCCACTAGTGATGTTGCTTAGTGGTCTGTATAACAGCTTGGAAGATTAAGGATCAACTTTCATTCAGTTCCTCTAAGACTGGGTCATGAAGTGTGAAAGAAGCAGCATGTTCAGAGTCTGGAGAAGCAGGAATGCTTTATATCACTCAGCAATAGAGCTGGGCAACTGTTTTTTTTTTTTTTTTTTGAATAGTAAATCATCAAAGGGGTGTCCAAAACTACTCGTCAACTTAGGTTGAAGTCAGACAAACTAAAAAATAACGAAAAAAATGAAAAAGTCAAATAAAAAAGTTTATTTTTATTTATTTATATCTGTCCAGAAAGTATAAGAGGACTGGACAGGTATTTCCCAAATTGTTTTGGCAAAAAAAAATAAAATAAAAAAATCAGGCTAGATAAACACAAGAATTTAGGTGCCATTCACAAAAGCAGAGTGATTCACAAAAGCAGAGCATGACTGGGAGAATGATTACAGTTTAGGTGCTAGGGCCCTCACCTGTGATGATGTCCCTGCTCCAAATATTTTTAAATTATTTATACAAAGTGGAATGGCTTCCACAAAATAGACTAAGAGAACCTCATCCAAGAATAGCCTCTAGCTCACTCTCCTGGGATAGAGGAGATAGAGGTTCATATCAATGCATCGGCGAAGGAAACCCAAATATCCCCTCCAAATGAATGCCCTACCTGCCGAGGTAAGGGTTCTAAGAGGGCCTCCTCCTCTGGCCATTTTCTCAATCTAGTCCTTTAAAAATGTCTGGAAACAAAACATTGTGGGATGAAGGAAACATTTTGTTCAACCCCAAACTGACTCTTTAGCAAATTTTTTCCATTGCATTGATATTTTTCTAAACTAACAACATTCCATTTCTAAATGAATAGTTTCATTTTTAAATGTGGTTTCATTTAACATCAAGGAAATTTTTTTCAATTTTTCATTTCAGCAAGAAAATGAAAAAAACCCACCTCTGATTGGAAACTTACCATTTTTTTCAGATATTTTTGTTCAGTCCCTCATCTAAAAAAAAATGGTTTGGTTAGCTCTACTTTGCACTGCCCTCTTTGGCTAATTAAGGAGCAATATTGATTGGCTTCTAACGTGGATTCACTATGGAACCTCAAGGGTGGAGTACACGAGTTGCTTGCAAAACACTAGAAAAATAAGCAGAGCTGGAAAGATCATCAGAGTCTTTCATTGTGATGCCCAGAATCTCAGGGAGATGGGAAAAGTGATTTATTTCTGACCCTGGCTCTAGTGCCTAAGGCTACCAGTGGTCTGAGACTGGGGAAGAGGGATTGATAATCATTTTATAAATAGATCCTTAAGCACAATGGTTCACCAGTGGAAAACATGAACACATTTTGTTTTTGAAAAGGACAATGGAGTTTCATTTTCACCAGCACTGGTTTTGATCATATTGGAAGAGCAAGAAATTTTCACATGCCTCCAGTAATGTCCCCTCTCTCTGAAACTGGAACTTAACACAGAGCATGAATGGGCTTTTCTAATCTAGCATCATCTATGGAAGGAAGGTCTTCAGCAAAGCAGACGCTACTTTCATAAAGAGAAGGATCTCTGTGGAACAGCCCTTATGTGAACATTGAGTTAGTGTGGTTTTTCCAGAACTGTGCAGAAGGAATAATTGGGACAGTGCTTTTGGAAAGTCAGGTCTGTTTGTGGGTGTAGAGATTTTGGGAGGGCTATTCTGTAAGTCTGGTGTCCCCACTGGGGCAGAGTTCAGATGACAGTGTGTATTCTGCATTGTATGGTGGTTGCTCTAGTAGGATGTGTGTTCCTAGGTTGAGGCATAGAGCAGAGGTTCTCAAACTGTGGTCTGCGGACCATCAGTGGTCTGCGAGCTCCATTCAGGTGGTCCACAGATACTTCCCTCTAAGGTGCGCGCCTGGGCAGCCACACACAAGAGAACGAAGGGCCACTCACCTAATTAGTGGAGCCTCTGCAAATTTCAAGTGGTCTGTGAAAAAAAAAGTTTGAGAACCACTGGAGTAGAGGATATGCCCTGTTAGATGCCCTGACTTTTAACCACCTTGCTTTTGTGATTTTTGCCTTAGGTATGTTATGTATGAACTATCCTTTAAAGATAGTATAGGAGCAGATTCTCCTTTACACTGCTATGGGAGCCATTTACACTCCCTTTAAAGCACCATTACGTTGTCAGAGTGGTCTAAAGGGGCCTTACATAAAGGACATTCAGATTCATAATAATGTTATCAATTAAGATGGAAAAAGTCTTGATCCTGGTAGTTCATACTGTCTCCATCCCCATTCTCATTCTCTGGCCACTGCAAGATTGTTCACTAAAAAAAAAAGTGGCCTCTTTGCTGAGTCACAGCAGATTTCAGGGCCTGGTAGGGTCAGTTTTCCATTGGAAGAGAAATTAATCATGAGGAGTCTGGGTATTCTTAGTGCAAGTGGTTTCTTTACACTAGATACACCTGGAACAGAGGTGGTCACAAACAGCATACAGGCAATCCTTGCTTTCAGGAATCTCAGCCCACACATTAATGTCTGGGTCCCAGCAGGCAACTCTGTCCCAGAAATAAACGGTAGTTACAAAGATTAAGGGAAAGAGCAAATTCTCTTGCTGCTTGTAACAGCTTTATAAAAAAGAACCTGAATCTCAAACCTAACAACAAAAAGAAAAGGAGTACTTGTGGCACCTTAGAGACTAACCAATTTATTTGAGCATAAGCTTTCATGAGCTACAGCTCACTTCATCGGATGCATACTGTGGAAAATACAGAAGATGTTTTATACACACAAACCATGAAAAAATGGGTGTTTATCACTACAACAGGTTTTCTCTCCCCCCACCCTACTCTCCTGCTGGTAATAGCTTATCTAAAGTGATCACTCTCCTTACATTTTTTCATGGTTTGTGTGTATAAAAACATCTTCTGTATTTTCCACAGTATACATCTGATGAAGTGAGCTGTAGCTCACGAAAGCTTATGTTCAAATAAATTGGTTAGTCTCTAAGGTGCCACAAGTACTCCTTTTCTTTTTGCAAATATAGACTAGCACAGCTGTTACTCTGAAACCTAACAACAATACAGCATCTCTTCAGAGACTGCACACTGCTCTCATGCTGAGGAGCAGAACTTGTAAGACTATGTGTAGAAGCTCGATCTGGTGATTCCTGATATAACAACGTTCTCTGCTGCTGGGTTCAACACAGTTTCTACCTCTTCAGCAATGCAAAATCCAGCCCTTCTCCATGGAGATCGTATCATACTTTAAAAGAACTGAGACTCAGCAGATCATTTCACACAGGCTAGTGATAATCCCGGGCTTGGCCCGTGGAGGATCAGTGCCATATACATGACAGCTCTGCAACTTCTATGTGCATCTTTCCAGTCAATGGCAGTAGCCCTTGTATTCTAAATTGAACTGCTTAGGATGAGAAACAAAGACAATTTCTCTCTCTTTTTTAGGACCAAATTGTACACTCTGCCCTGCAAACTGGCAATGGATGGGAGGTGACACCTGCTTCTACATTTCAAGAGAGAAAAGGTCCTGGAAGCAGAGTCGAAAATTCTGTTCCTTACAGAATTCAACCCTTCTCATGCTACAAGACATGGAGAAGCTGGTAGAGCTCCTACCCAAGCCTCTTTTATTTTATCTGGATGTAAATTTCTCATAAGCCACCCAAGACAGAAAATGCAGTTTGGTTACTATAGCTCTATTGCCTCCTATCTACAGGGTGTGGTACATTGCAGTGCACAGTGCCTTTGTCAGACACTGGATAAATAGCTTGTGGAACTTACCACCATAGGATATTTTTAAAGCAAAGAGTAGATGTGAGTCTCTCAGATCCTGCTGTGGTTATGAACAATGGGTTTTCCACACAGAGCACTGCCTTCTGGGTGCTTTAAGGAGTAGGTTGATCAGTTCTATGTGGATAACACTTGTCCTGCTCTTCTGGCTGCTAGAGGGGTTCAAGGGCAGGATTTCCACACTTCCACATCAGATGGGCAGAGAGAGAGCAGGATTCACTTCTTCATTTACAATGTGGTAAAGTCGACATAAAATGTTAGCAATCTGATCTGGTAGATGTTTACACCCATGTAAATGACAACAGAAGGCACAGGACAATTGGGAATTAGGCCCCTATTGTCAGGCCAAGTCATGGGTGGCCTGTGGGCCTGGAGTGAGCTACTCAATACTGGGGCTGAAGGTCAGAGATCAATCCGGGGCCAGGCCAGCTCAAAAGCACACAGTCAGATACTATTACCAGATTGAGTGTGTGAGGCAAGAGTCTGGGTCAGGTTGGGCCACTGTCTTTCACTGAGATCAGCAATCATCTTAAACCGAAGACAGTAAATCAGGGCCGGGAGCCAAGCATAGGTTGAGAGCTGGGAGCGTGGGATAAAGACAACATGCACTGAGGAGCAGCAAGGCAGAATCAATAGCAGAAGTCCACCAAAGCTCTGTTATTGCTCAGACAACTTCCAGAAACAGCTGTACTTCTAGCTGCCGTATGCAATGCAAGGGATGATTCGGATTTGCTGTCTAAAGCCCTATGCGGGTTTTGTCCAAGCTCCCTGGTAGCTAACTTCTTCTGCCATGGACTGTCACAAAGCAACTGAGGCCAGCTGAGTAGGTAGAATTAACCACTGCTAAGTTCAAATGCCTGGGGATGGAGAGACAGGGCATTCTAGTGAAGGAACCTGGAGTCTGGAATTCACTTCCTGTGCTGCTACAAAAAAAACATAATTTGTGGATCTTTAGGGCATGGAGCTGATCCCATGCCTTTCTTCAGGCTGTTGCTTATTGGAATTGGAGTTCAGTTGTTTGGTCTAAAGTTTATAACTGGATTGGGCATAGAGTTCTATTGTTTTTGACTTTTTGTTTAAAAGTCACATGTTCTACTAACTGGAGCACATGAATTCAGAGACTTTATATGGAAGCATTTTCTAAATTACAAAATAAAGAAATCCACCTTGCATTGGTGCGTGGACAAGGTAGCAGCTTTTCTAACTCTAATTTCTGTCGTTTTATGAAACTAGAAATAATATTTATCATAAAGATTTCTTGTCAGTTTTCCCAACTATTATATGTTGTATCATATGTCAGAATCTGTCAGATTTCTAAAAGATTAAGACATGAGTTCATAGAAATTGTCCATCTTTGCATTTAGTTCAAATATTCTTTTATTCCAAGATTACCAAAGGCATTTAGGCCCACATATTTAAAGGTATTTAGCTGCTTATGTGCTCAACTTTGCAATGCTGAACTGATTAGGAAACGATATCTCATTTTCAAACACATTTAGGCTCCGAAGTGCCCAAGTCACTTTTGAAAATGAGGATTAGGCTCCTAAATTAGTTAGGTGTTGCAAAGCTGAGCATAGTTATGCCTAAATACCTTTAAAAATGTGGCCGTTAGGGCAGATTTGTAAAGGTGTTTATGCACCTAAAGATGTAGATAAACACCTAATGAGATTTTCTAAAGCACCCAGGCATCTATCTCCCATTGATTTTAATGGGTGTTAGGCACTTTAGAAAAATCCCACTCGGTGCTTATCTGCATAAATACCTTTTAAAAATCTGACTCACTTCAATGGTGACTTTTATATCTGTCCTGCAACATTTCAATAATCTGAGACACTTGAACAGTCCTGTAATACAAATCCGGGATATATCATCACATCAGGAAGGGTGGACGCCATAGCTTTGGCTGGGAGTTCTCTCCCATCACTAATATACATTAGTGGGGTTTTTTAAAGGTAAGAATATGAGTTCTTTATTTAAGTAATGTTGTTGTGATTTCCTCACAGAATCATGTACCTCCAAGACAGACTAGAGACTATTACTGGTTTGGATTATCATGTAAATCTGAAAGGAACGGCTGGCATTGGGAGGACGGCTCAGCTTTTTCAGCACAGAGAACTGATTGGTAATGAATATTTAGGGCCTGATTGTGGCCCATTCCAGGACCCCTGCAGGAGAGAAGCATAAGGTGCCCCCTTACTCTCCTGTGCTGCCTACCTGTGTTCTGACAGAGACGCACAGGGGCAATAACAGCCTTTGTGAGCTGCTAATCTCCGTTCTGCACAGGGCAGGGCGGGAGTGGGCAAACAAGGCTGGAGACTTGGCACTGGCCATGCGGAGCACTGGCTGGCACAGCTGAGCTGGCAGGAAGGGGCAGTAATCCACACCAGTTGTAGGGCAGCTGTGCATTATTTACCCCCTAGGGAAACTGGCGAAGACACGAGGGTCCTGAACACACGCATAGAACGCACATGTCAGGACACAGTAAAACGATGCCTCATTTTCTAGGATGACAGTCTGTGTGCTACACCCTTAACCACTAGAGTCATTTTTTAAAGAGACCATTGTTTGCTCTGGGTTTCCAATCTTTTGCGTAAGGAGCTTTTTGCAGACAGAGACCTCCCCAGTGCCCAGCTACAGGCCACCGTCCTTTTCCAGGAGCAGCAGCAGCAGCACACAGTGAATACTAGCTTCTGTAGCAGCTCACTCACGGTGCCTTCACCCTATTCTTAAAGGGGCAGTTCCCATTCCTCTTATGATACGATTTATGTCACCATTAACACAGATCTATACAATAATGAACAAATATTCAAAATTACTAAACACAAACAATGTTAATCTATTTCTAAAACATCTATTTCAGGGACCGCGGATGTGGATACAATCAATGTGCATCCCTATATGACAGGAAAATGTATAAAGATGACTGCTCACAGGAGCACTTATGGATCTGTGAGAAAGCAGCTGTCCAGCTGAGATAAAGAAACATCACCAGAAGGAACACTGGCTCCATCAGTATGATGGGACATATACTCAGTGTATTTTGTTTTCTTGTGAGGTTTTTATACTTTTTTTCAGAATTTTCAGAGTGGGGATTAAAATCGGCGTTCTATTATATGCTACACCAGAACTTCTTGTTTCTTTCCCTCCACACTAAGGTTCAGTTATGAAAATCAAGACAATAACTGGAAAGAGTCTTAGGAAGTCACTTGCAAAAATAAGCTACTGTCAGCATCAAAATACCACTGCCATGCACCAGAGAGAACACAAAATCCATCAGTGCAGTTCTGAAATGTGTAACAGACGCCAGATTGAAACTGGGAACTTCAGGCATAGCATGGAACCGGAGAAACTGGAGATAAAATGGGTTGGGTTATATCTTGTGACCAGGACCCTGGGGCATAATTCTTCTGAATAGGAGATCCACCAGAGCTTTTTCTAGCTTTAAATATTGTAATTGAAGTGATGAGGCTTGTCTCTTTGAGAGACAATTCTAAAATATCACAGATCTCAATTTTACAAAAAAGTTAAAAATAAATCCTGAGTTCCAACTTGAAATAATTTTTTTCTAAATTTCATCACACTTCAGTTATTTCCCTCAGACAACCATAAACTAAAGGCTTGCCTACACTACAAAATTAAGTCAACTTAAGTGAAGTCAATGTACAGCCAACACAGTAATTAAAGTGGTGGGTTCACGTCCACACTATGTCCCATCTGTCGGTGGGACATGCCCTGACTAGGAGTGGTTCCACTGACTGAGGTAGGGGATTGTGGGACACTGACAGCTGCAGTTCAGCAGCCCTGGGGCTGACAGCCTCAACTGTCAGCCTCTCCCCCCCCCTCTCGCCCCCCGCTCCAGTGCTGACAGCCCAAGCTGTCAGCCAGGGGCCAGGCTCACAGCTGGAGCCCTCCCCCTGGCCCGGGTGCTGACAGCTCCAGCTAGTGCCTGGTGACAGCTCGGGCTGTCAGCACCAGGGTGGGGGGAGCTTCAGCTGTCAGCCCTACTCAGGGCTGACAGACAACAGGTGATGTAAATAACTCAGTGTCTACATGGACACTGCGCTGCTCTAACGACACCGACCTAAGCACAACACCTCTATTGAGGTGGAGTTATTGTTATAAAAAAGTGCTTATATGCTATTTTATATGAATGTTCAATAAGTTTGTTCTTATAACTTAGCATAAGTTACTAACTTAGCATAAGTGATTAAAGTAGTTGAAGCCTAAGGCCGAGGTCAAGATGACCTGAGAGGAATGCTGAAGAAGCAGCTACAAAACCAGGAGAGACTGCCTGTTATCATCGAAGATAAAATAGAATGCAAGGAGTAGGACTGACTGTCTCCTGGAGCAAATCCGGCACCTGGCAACGGACTGTCCACTCAGCAACAGAACTGTCCAATGGAAAAGAGCAGAGACCCCTACTCAAATTGGGGGGCTGGACTTTGGACATGGGCGAGGGCGGTGTTACCAACTGTAAAGGGTATAATTGCTTGCAATTTCTGAGGGGCGGGGTCCCTCTCCTGAGGCACCCAGCTCGAGCTGTATTTCTGTTAACTAATAAAAGACGCATATATAGATTAGACTCAGAATTTAGAAGTTCGTGGGATCCTAGAGTCGAATCAAGCACCTAAATTGGTGAGAGCAAGGGCTAATTGTTTATTCCCCTAACAGTTTGGCCACCGCAGTAGGACTCTAGGCGACCATCATCGGGGCCTCTCGCCTCCAAACATCCACTTGGCGCCAACGGGTGAGTTCACCTGGGATCTTTGGCAGCGAGGGGTACCAAAGGGTGAGTCTTAAATTCCCACATTCTAAATTCCAAATTTAGGTTTCTGGTTAAAGTGCACTTGGAACGGGTGTGTGGCCTGATCAGCTCCAGCTAGTGCTTGGTGACAGCTCAGGCTGTCAGCACCAGGGTGGCGGTAGCTCCAGTTGTCAGCCCTACTCAGGTCTGACAGACAACAGGTGATGTAAATAACTCAGTGTCTACATGGACACTGCGCTGCTCTAACAACACCGACCGAAGCACAACACCTCTAGTTGAGGTAGAGTTATTATGTTGGTGTAGCAGGCAACTTACTTCAGCAGAAGCAGCATTCTAGTGTAGACACTGACATAATTAGGTTGACGTAAGCCACCTTGTGTCATCCTAACTCTGTAGTGTAAACTAGGCCTTTATCCTATTTCTCCTTGGTGATTTTACTCATCTGATACTTGTACAACGTTTCTTCTATTTCAGACAGCCAGCTTGTTATTGTATAGATATAGTTATACATTAGCAACAAAAAGCCATTCTTTACAAAGAGTATAGAAAACCATTACAAATATTGCTACAGGAAATCAGAATCATATACTGTGGCTGGAGTTCAAAATGTCCTGGATTATTTCATGCTCATAATAACCTTTGCAGTTTTACAAGTCGAAATAAGGATAATAACTAGATTGCTGTAATGTGCTCAACTTGTGACAACACTCGAAGACCACTCAAACTTAAGATAGTGCAGAATGCAGCTGCCTGATCACTTAGTTGTGTTCCTTTATTATACAGATATATTACTATGGTTGTGGTGCCTGGAAGGGTCACACTGAGAATGCTTACTCAGGGCAAACAGCAAGGAATAGAGTAGACAATCCCTAAAACTGGTGGTTTATTCTATAATTAGATTCAGCAAGCCAGTAACAAAACAACTTCTGTGACACCACATTGGAGAAGTCAAATACAATCCCCTTTAAGCAATCCAACCTTTGGCTCCCATATAGACAGCCAATGCTAATATAGTGAATCATAGAATCATAGAATATCAGGGTTGGAAGGGACCTCAGGAGGTCATCTAGTCCAACCCCCTGCTCAAAAGCAGGACCCATACCCAATCAAATCTAGGGTTATCGAAGGGTTATTGAAAACCTTATTCACCATAATTAAAGTTCTACCAATTCCAAAAGACCATTGACCTTACCCAAATACACCCTTACAGCCAATCCTTATTAACTAAATCTAAGATGTATTAATAAAAGAGAGTTATATATAGTTAAGAGATCAATATACATACAAATGTGTGTAAAGTCCTTAGGTCAGTTTCATAGCAGAGATGGTGAGACTGCTGATTTGTAAAAGTCTTTCTGGAATCAATTTAAAAGGTTACAGTCCAATAGACGTTTCAGATGTAGAGTTTGTTCAAGTTCTTCCATGAGAATTCCAGGGTAAATCCAGAGTAAATCTGGAGACCTCAGTCTTGTGGCTTAGACCTTCTCTGTCAAAGTTTAAGTAAACCTGATATAAAAAGGATCAGGCCTGAAGCTTTCTTTATATCTGAAGCAATCTGGGTGCTGACAGGTAATCCCACCACATGGGCTTTGATGAAAGCAAGCAGACAGTTTGATCTCTATTCAGTGGGTCCTTTCTCAGAAAATACATTAAGCAATAACTATTCAAATTACTAAAACAATTCATTATATCAGATAATTAAGCTGAAGACAATATAAGTAATGTTATTATGTCCTATAGCATCTTGCATCTTTGATTTTTGAGTCAATAGAATACAGTAATGAATCATTAAGAGACGGGAATAGGATTTTAGCATCTACAAGCTAATTAGATCACATGGTTAAACTTCTAACAAGATATAGGTAAACACAGACAAATACACTTAGCTTCTAGTCTTGATTCTCTAATAATACAGGCAAACATGTTAAAGATTTAAGACTTCTTAATACGGCTTTGACAATGATCTACGAGGAATGGCCCTGTTTACCATTGTGACGGGACAAGGCCAGATGGCTATAGAAAAGTAGTTGGTTTTTTTTGAAGCAGAAAAGAATTTTATTTGTGTAACACTTACAAAGAATCACCAAAAAGGATAAATCAAAACTATGCAACAAAACAAAAGCAAACACAAGGTATAACACAGCAGCCTTCAGGAGGGAGAAGTGTTTTTTTTTTTTTTTTGAAACAGAAAGAAAGTTTATTGGTAACGCTTACAAAATTACCAAAGGAAACAAAACAACTATGCAACAAAACAATGCAATCAGAAGGTATAACACAGCAGCTTTCAGGAGGGAGAAGTGTTCAGGCTAGCCTGGGCCCAGAGCGGGGGGGCTTCCTCGACACTCGTGGTCTTCCACCCACTCGAGTTAACTAGTGCCACGACCAGTGTCACCGATTTATAGAAAAGTAGTGGGAGATAGATATATTAGCTCCAGGCTAAACAAATCCCTGGTACCAGGTTAAGTGAAATGGAAGCTGCTCCAGGTCAATTAAGACACCTGGGGCCAATTAAGAACTTTCCAGAAGGCAGGGAGAATGCTAGGTTGATTGGGACACCTGAAGCCAATCAGGGGCTGGCTGAAACTAGTTAAAAGCCGCCCAGTCAGTCAGGTGGGTGTGCATCTCAGGAGCTGTGGAAGGAAGTTGCGCTGTTGGAGAGACTGAGGAGTACACACCATACCAGGCACAAGGAAAGAAGCCCTGAGGTAAGGGTGAAGTGGAGCTTGAGGAAGTGAGGGCTGTTGTGGGGGAAGTAGCTCAGGGAATTGTACATATCATGTTTCTAAAAGGTCAGCTACCATAGCTGATACTATTAGGGTCCCTGGGCTGGAGCCTGGAGTAGAGGGTGGGCCCAGGCTCCCCCCCCCCTTGCACCTTTGCCCCCTGATTAATCACTGAGACTGGGAGACAACAGAGACTGTGCAAAGAAGGATAACTTCTCCTCACCTCCCTTGCTGGCTTATGATGAAAATGGCTCAGTAGACTGTGACCCTTATCTCTAGAGAAAGAAGGGTTACATGGAGGGTCACAGTGAGCCTCTGAGGCTAGCGAAATCCGCCAGGAAACACGGAACCCATGGAGGCAAGGACAGAGCTTTGTCACACCATTTTAATATCTCCTGTTATGTTGTTATGGTCACACACTAGTTGAACTGTCTGTTAGTGTCACAATTACACCATGTACACCAGAGACCGCACTGTCCTCCATGCATTTGAAAATACTAGTATCTATTTAAAATTATACGTTTGATTTGGTTTGTTGATGTGCCTTGATATTTGGACAGGTGACTTTTACAAATCTAAAGGAAAAATAATGTTTACTTTCACTTGGTCACTTCATATAGTGCTACAATATCCTGACTGAAAGTGCCATAGAAGTACAACCATTAAATAATGAAGCACCCTCTCCAAACCTCTGTCTGATGTGCAATGGTTCAGATGGGGCATGGGTAAATGAGATGGAATCATATAGGGCTTTTCCAACTTTACAATGGGTGGTTCTATGAAACTACAAAAATCTATATCACTTCACATTTCCTGTCACTTTCCCAAGCAAAATATATATTTGTGTCAGATATGCCAGAATCATACTTCAAAATGGTGTCTCTAAACTTTCTCGTATAGCACTTAACGGTCCTATAAGCTTAAGAGCAGGCCTGTCTCACAGATATCAGAATGGGTGAACAGCACCCTGTTCGGTGGTACTCGTCTTCTTTCAATGGTACCATCAGTGAGTCTGAACCTACAGACTTCTCACTAAGAAGTGGGGGTTCTATTAAAGTGTCCTCATAGGAATATCTCTGTCTGTATAATAGCAAATAAAATGTATTGGACTGGCTGCTCCTGGGAGGAAAACACAGCTTTTTCTATACACAAAAAGATTGGTACATTTTTGATAATTTAGGGCTAAGATGAACAATAGATGCCTAAAGTTGGGCTAAATGCATATTTAGGGCATGGGTAGGTACCACATGCATCAGTGACAAGCATGCCCACATAGCTCCTCCAGTTTGCAAAATCATGTCACAGTTGCCCCATGACAATGTCCACTCCAATTCAATCTTCTTCTCTTTATCCACTCCTTATCCTCAGCCAGGGAAAAATACACAGCTCTTACAGAAGACTAGGGTTGGAAGAGACTTCAGGAGGTCATCTAGTCCAACCCCCTGCTCAAAGCAGGACCGATCCCTAACTAAATCATCCCAGCCAGGGCTCTTCCTTAACAAGCTGTCTACGCCAGTCTCTCAAGTTCCCTGGCAAGAGTTGAGGAGGGGAGTGCTGTGGAGGATGTTAATGGTAAGTCTAGGATGCGTGCTGTGTGCTGCCAGCCAAGCAATCAGAGCCCGATTCCTGCTTTTACATCTGTCTCTAGCTAGAAACGCTGTGCAGCTGTACCCAGTGATCTAGAAGTTGGTGCCTCCACTGCCACGTAGGTATCCCATCGTAGATTCCATCCTTCATTTCTTTCACCTCTCCAGAGGCTGAAGCACAGAAGTTACACAGAGAATTTACAGAAATCTCTTCCTTAAAAGTTTCTTAAATAATATCCACTGAACTTGAGAGAGGGGCAGGGGGGAAGAAACAAAGTCTATTTTAGGTGGGCGGGAGCTCGCAAATCTTAAGTTGTCATTAAATTCCGATCCTATATTTGCCTAAGAGAAAAGCAGACAGACGCACAAAAGGGGAAAGAGAAAGCTTCTGTCTCCGAGTTGCTGGTTGGGTACTGGAAGACTACAGGGATTGCTAGGGCCCTTGGCCCATTTAGAT